TCAGAAACTACTAAAGATATGATAAATCTGACACCACGTTCTCGAGCTCGATTTTCATGGCAAACTCGACTGCCAAATCAGAAATTTGCTATCTTCATTTGTTTCTGAGTTACAGGGCGTTTCTCGTTATTGTGACACTTTTGAACATGTCTGTATCTCAGCTGTTAAATAAGTTAGAGTTAAAGTGAAAACTGCTCAAGACTAATTCTTTGGCGTAAAATTGAATGCCGATATTAGATTTTTAGTAGGTCTTAAGATTCCGGAGTTATGACCCAAAGTTATAATTTTTTAAATGGAAATCGTAGCTGGTTATGACCTAAAAAATTGCAGATTTTTTTTTGCTTTTCAGCAATATACCACATGCTATAGTTATTTCTCCAAACACAGAAGGTACGGGGTGTTTTATATATACATTCGATCCTTTTTTACATTTTAACATGGCTGGCTGTGAAAATACATACAAAACTATAATTCTTACTTTTACAAAACTCATATCTGTTATAAAAATATGACGTTTATTTAAAATATATATTACAGATAAGAAAAGACAGAGTTTTCAAATTTTTATTCCACTTCAACTGAAGTTACAATATTAAACGTAAATTAGACAATAGTAAGTACCTACATCAATAAAAACTTTCAAAAATGATAGCTAAATTTTCAAATTGCCGTCGCACAACTGTCACACATTTCACGCATCTTCTGGCAACGCTTCGGGTAGCATTCATATGTACCTATTCGTATAGGTATTTGAAATATTATTAAAAGGAATTTTAAATATAATGTCTTTTAGAAAACCTCAAAGGAAAAAGTCCAACGGACTCAAATCAGGTAACCTAGCTGGCCATCTGATCGGTCCGTTTGTTCCTATCCACCTATCTCCTAAAATTTCGTTAGTGTTATATTATCACACGAGTATATGTTGTGCATTTAAAATAAATGTCATATTTTTACAACAGATATGACTTTTGTAAAAGTAAGAATTATAGTTTTATATGTATTTTCATAGCCGGTTATATTAAAAAGGAAAACAATATATAATTTATATATGAAACACCCCGTATCTCCCGTGTTTGTAAAAATAAGTATAGCATGTGATATATTGCTGAAAAGCGGAAAAAAATCTATTTAACAGCTGAGATACAGACATGTTAAAAAGTGTCACAATAATGAGAAACGCCCTGTAACTCAGAAACAAATGAAGATAGCAAATTTCCAATCTAACAGTCGAGTTTGCCATGAAAATCGAGCTCGAGAACGTGGTGTCACATTTATCATATCTTTAGTAGTTTCTGAAATACCCTGAATTGCCATCGAAAATGGGCCAGCCTGTACATAGTGTACGGATCTATAAAATTGTTTATATTTGAAATTACTCTATTACTGAGTTTTTTCTTATTATTTTGACATGTCCCTGGAGTTTGGTACGATTATTCCGACTCACCCTGTATTTGCACCATAAGCGAAGTGAAACTAAGTCCATCACAGTATGATGGAGCAAAAAAATGTCAAAAATGTGGGCGATAAAGTTCTTTTGTCTATTTTGCAGGAAAATCCAAAATTCTGGCTTCTTCGACCTTATGGAGCTTGTTTGTATTCAGTGTATTATTTTTTATAACCAACACCTTTACGAAAAAGAAGTCTGTTCGCTACAATGCTCTAGATAGCGAATATCTTGTATCTAAATCTACTAACAAAGTAAAAAATTCAACAAGAGCACGTCATGAAAGAAGATGAGAAAACAATATTGATCGTTAATATTCCTAAATCAAAATGAATAGCACCAGATTGTAAATTCAGAAATATATTTGTACCTTCATAGGAGACATTTATTTATAGCTAAGATCACCACACACAGTACATTATATTTCATAATATGGGAAAGAATTCAACCGAAGTTGGAGAAATGCCCTAGCGAAATACAGTCCTAACCTTACAAGGATGGAAATCTTCCACTGCAGCGAAAGACTACCTGCAGAACACCACTTTCCGGTCTTATAATGTAAAATATTCTCTTCTTGGTCCTTACCTTATTCCAACGTCCGGTTCTTCATCAGTACCATTTCTAGTTACATAGCTGTAACAACAGGTTGGTGGTTCTTCGTCTTCGTCATATATTTCATTCTCCCCATTTATATGCAGATAAGCAGTATTATTTACAACAGTGGTAGACGTTAAAAGTTCGGAGTCTGTACAACTCGTATAGTTTTGAGGAACGAAAACTTCTTTGGCCTCCTTGCTAAACGTGGGAAAGGAGGGTATCTTGCATTCATTTGTGATTAATATGAAGGCTACAATTACAAGAGATTACAACATGTTTGTAAAAACAATTTGTTGACTTACTAGTGTCCGACGACACTACGATCGTTTTGAAAATAATGATTAATAATAATGTAAGTACGTACATTGCTGCTGCCACCAACTAATTTAACTTTTAAGAGCGAAGTGATATTTATGTTACACAAACATTGAATTTTATGTTCAGAGTCGGAATAAGAACGTTTAATTTGACATATTAAATCAATTATATCAATTTAGTAGTCAATCGCATAGACATGGCTATCAGTTTGTAAAAAGTGATACGGAATGGTTACTACAACACGTCAACTTTCCTAAAAGTGTTCACCAATCGCTGCCATCACCTAAAGACAAACCAGTTCCTCATCTTGGTAGACCTACAAAATCGTTCAACGCATATAGCGAAAAAATAGAAAGGGGACCCTTCGTTGAGTCGGTTTTCTTAGAACAACTGTCTATATCTACTGAAATTAAATTATGTGAAGGAAGACAGCAGGAATGAAAAAAAAGAGAAGTGAAACTTGTGCAAAATTGTTAAGGAATTATCAGAAACATCACAGAGTCGAGATACCAAAATAAAAAAAGGATGAAAATTTCAACAAACTCAAATAACGTATATTGAAAGAATATATATTTGGTAGCACATACCAAGTAACAGGCATACAATTTTATACCAGGGTACTAATTATATTCTTCCATAGGTAAAGAAGGATAAGAGGCTTGAAATAAAAACAAGAATGTATGAAGAACAGTTCACATGAAAAACCTCACGCATCGACACAGTCAGTGAGACATTTTTGTATGAAACATCACCAATATTATTAAGAAATGTTTCTTAAAATGAAAAACTGTATGCACAATGTCAATGTCGATACTTTACTTTTTTATGCCTGATTCCAGATTTGTCCAGTAGTAAAGCGTTTTTTTTTTTAATGTGATATACGACAAAATGTTATTGAGAAACATTTTGAGGCTTTTGAGGTATATTTAACGGTTTTTGAGATGAAGTGTTTAGAGGTACAATCTATAAAATTTCATGAACTTGCAGAAGGTTTTTGATCTCAAGACGACTTTACTGAAAAAAATAAAGGATAAAATGCATAATGTCAGTCTTGAAATACATTGTATTAATTTCGAAACGCACTACCGGGTATTAAAGCAGCTTCAAAATATATCAAAATCCCTCGAATGGGCTTTAACATTCTTCTGAAATACATATTTCGTAGAAGTTATGTTTCTTTGAAGGATTCTAAAGCCACTTCGAGGATTTTTTTTGTATTTTCGAGCTCGTTTGATGAATGATTCGTACCGAAATAATTATTACATCGTAAAAAGACCTAGATATTTAAAAAGAAATTATTACAGCATTTTTACTCTGCTTATTTTATTCAATTAATCAATTTAGTAAAATAAATTAGGTACCTACACACTATTATTTATATTTGTGACTATTCCTATACAGTATGTTACTGTCTCTGAGGAAAATAAATGTATTTTNTTTCAAACATTTTGGTTTTGTGCTGATTTTTTTTAAGCTGTTGTAATTTTAACCATTGAGTATGATTTTTTTGACTGCATTAGGAGCTCCACTAGTTGGAATCTGATTTTTTCCACAGTTCAATAACTTGGTCAACTGAATTTTTAGCATTTTGTTTGATTGAACACTTTAAAACTTTCAGTTGATAGAATAACACACTCATAACCTCTTTCACTGTTGGTAACTTACGTTCCAAAATTTTTTGCATAGGTATACCGATCAAACGAATTTCCTTATCCATTATAGGTTAATTAATAATAAATAAATTTATGTAGTGATTATAAGACTTATTTGTAATAATAATAAACTATCTTATCACGTATACGAGATCATGAGTTTTAGAATAATTGAAAATGCAGTACGAAACGTATTGATACTAAAGATAAGTTGAGAATAAAAAACATCGATGGCGTTAGTTTCACAAGACAAACAGAAGTAATGAAATTCAAAACAAAAATCCCCTAGAACGAAAAATTTTATGTATATTTTGTGGAAAAAAGTTTTGAAATGCGTTTTGAACACACGCTTTCAAAAAAAAATAACAACACGATAGCGATTTTAAATTATTAGAGGTAAAATTTATAAAAATATTATCAGAATAAAAGTTTCAAATAAATTTTCGACAAAGTACTTCTCTATAATGGTTACTTTTACGATAGAAATTCAAATTTGTATAAATTTCCCTGAAACTCATAAAGTAAATTGAAATTTTCCGAATTATTAATCAAAAACTGTTAAAATTGGCGTGCATTGAACTTTGACGATGAATATCTTTTAAACGCTTTATTTAATCGACTAATCATAAGAGACCATTTTTGTAGAGCAGTTAATTTCCTACAACACTATGAATAGCGCATTTCATTACGATTTTTTGTTAACGAGTTATAAAATTCATAAGCAAAACAGAAATTTGTCTTAAAATAATCAAACTTCAACTTTTAATATCTTTTAAACGGTGAGGTTTGCGAAAAAATTGTAAGAAACCTTTTTTGTAGAGCGTTCAATTTCCTACAAGTATATGAGGAGATATATTTTTAACGAATAGTTGATAGAGAGATATGATTTTTTTTTTTAATACTGAGGAAAAAATGGAAAACTGTATAGCGGAGGATCTTCCTATTAAAATTAAGAGCTCATATGTGGAGAGAATTTTCTATAGGTGCCTAGCAACCTATTTTTCAGAGTATAAAGTAAAAAAAATAGTCGATTTTTTTGACCCACTCTAAAGTACATGTTTATTGAAAACACTTCAAGATTGAAACCAATGTGTTTACAGCACCGGCCTGAATGACTTTTTGAATAGATCCATATTACCTTCGGTTTCGGGTCCAGCGCAATAGGGCATGCCTTCTTTCCTAGTCACATTCAGAGTTTCAGCAGCCTCTACGTACGGTTTGAAGTAGTAGTCAGTTGGTGGCTTCTGAAACCCTTTTATATTATAATTGAAAGTTGAAATATCAGCCCAGTCCTCGGCGTAGGCAGTCACATATCCCAACTTTTGAAAGTCGTACCATATCATTGGACATTCGTCTAGCGCGCCAACTTCCCTGGGATTGCACTTTGAGTACGTTTGCCTCAAATTTAGACCCGACAAGAGGGCCATGCAATTGGGAAAGGTGTTGTCGTCTACTTTGTTGTACGCTATGAAGTCTGTGAATTTGTTGTTAAGTAAGAATTTTCTCGTCAGTGGCATGGTTCTGTTGAAGTTTATTCTGGAGACGCTGTCGATTACCAAGATCAATACGCTGATAGGTGTGTTGTGGGTGTTCGTTATGGATTGCTTCTTCCACACTTCTTCGGTGATGGTGATGGGATTGTGGACGTTTTCGTATACGAGGTTAGAGTCCTTTTCGCATTTTACCATGACTGTGGCACTTTCAAGTCGTACAGTCGTGTTGAAATGAGTACATTCGGATACACTGAAATAATAAAATTCGAAAGTAAAATTAAACATACAAAATAGAGTTTCTTTAAAATTTTCAAGTTAACCTTGAATCTTAAGATTAAAGTCAAATCCAAGGACACCAGCACATTGGTTTCTTGATATTGTACAAGATTTATCTAAAACTTTTTTGAAGGAACACAATACTGAAAAGTTATTGGAGAATTCAGGTCTTTTTGGGACCCTGTATAAGATATAATTTGAGAGTTTGAGAGTACGTTAAAGAAGAAATGAAACTTAAAAAATATTGCAAAACTTGGAGAAAAATTTGCTTCATTCTCGTTATTACCCAGTAAATATCATAAAAAAAATAAAAATGTATGCTGTGACATTAACCTGAGTTTATGAGTTTCGATGGATTCGAATTTTGAGGCGTCAGAAGCAGAAAACAAAATTCGACAACAAAGGACCCCACACAAACCTTATGGAAAATGGCTTTCGGTCAAAATGGCCGAAATAGAAATATGATATAGCTCTCACCTTCCTGAACAAAAGTTGTCAATGGCCCAAAGCGATCCTATGTGTTGGTTTAAAGATATACAGGGTGGGCCACCAGTAACGCCTCGGTCGCTAGTGACCAAACGGCAAATGTTACAGAAACCTGTTTAGGTGGGTATGTGTAGGTTGATTACGGCTACATTTTAAAAATATTTTGAGATATACAGGGTGTCCAGGAAAAGCGTACCATATCAAAGTTATGTTTTTTTAAATGGAACACCCTGTATTTTACTGCATTTTTGAAAGCACCGTAAAAAAATAGGTGAACTTTATTAAAGGTTCTGCATACCTAGGACTTACAGTTTGTGAGATATTTCAATTTAAGTGAAAATGCAGGCATAGCGTAGAAATTTAATATTAGCAATAAAAAAATAATTTTAAGGAAGCAGCTTTGGAGGGTCTATTTTAGATCCTTGAAGTTATAAATTGTTATATTTGTCGTCACTTAGTATTATACAGGGTGTTCAAAAAACTGCTGAATACTTCTCTCAACTTTAAACAGCAATAACTTGGTTATTTTAAATGGAACACCCAGTATATTTTTACTTTGGGAGTTGGGAAATTTAAAACTCTTTCAAACTGTGTATAGGTTCCCTATACCTATCTCTAACGGTATTGGAGATAT